AATCACTAACCCTTACTATTCTAAAAATTAATATCGCCAATCCCCCTAACCAACTCCACATCATTATGTATGAAAGAACCTTAAAGATACATAATACATATATTAATATCGGATTATATTTTAGTATTAAATTATTATAAGTTCTACGAGATGTAACCTGCAGCCAAGAGAATAATTTACATAGATCATAGTCACGGATGTTATGTTGTAAATATTTTTGTATAATTTCACATTCACTGCAAATGAATATTGTTTTCATTAAATAACTTATAAATTATTATAATTGATGTCTTTTACCTTATAAGTTTCGGTATTTTATCAGTAATGCTTATTGCAGTGTAAACACTTTTTAAGCTCTGGCTGAATATGAAATATCCTTCTGCCAGATTTATAACAGCATATGTTGTAATTAATGCAAATATCATATTAAAAATTGTTGCAGGAAATACAATACTCCATGGAACCTCATATCTACATAATATGTTATACATATCTGTGCATTATCATTAACAGTTGTGTCAGCTAATTAGTAACTTACATTGATGATACATCATATCCACCTTTTCCACATATTAAAAACATAATGGACCATATAATCCCGAATATGCAGGACAAGAAACAAGTTATAAAATATATTTTACATATATAGTTGTAATCATAATGGATCACAATTTGATCCATCCAATTTGTATTAATCAAATTCATGCTGTCCTCATCAACTATCTGATTCCAATCTGATTCCATAGGGATCATAAGGACGGAATTTGCCCAAAGTGGACAGTTATCGTCGAAGGCGTGATGCTACAATATTTTAAATTAAAAATTTTGTTTACTTCGAAAACGTTTGAAGATACAGAAACGAAATATATTGAATACCCATTTTACGTAGAATAATATGCTGCAAATGTATCCAGTGACCGCGCTTGTAATGTAACAGAATGCTGGCAAGAATTTGAATAACCAAGAAATTTCAGTTGCATCACGTTCGATAAGTTCCTGATATTCTTCTATCAGTTCCATACCGAATAAATAAGCGGAGATTAACAAGTTATCAACAAATTTCGGGAATATTTTACGGAAACATTACACCGGGGATTCTAAAAGGTTGCGCGCCAAACTTCATTCGTGCGAAAAGGCACGATTCTTATTGGTCCATTGAAAGCGAGCAAAATACAAACAGCAACAGGAGCAAGAAACTTAAAATACAATAGTACGCGTACATAAAGTTACTTAGTTTTCTTATGAAAAGATGTTACAGTGAAATGCATTCGTGTTTCACGTAAATGCTAATACGAATACTTATATCATATTTCTAATTCGTGCGACGGAAATCAATAAAGACAATCTAAATCATTGATAAAAAATGATTGAAACGAGTTTGCATTTTCTGAACTGTCTCGTATTTATCGTCTCCATAACCCGTTCGACGTAACTTCGTGTTCTGTAGGAACGTAGGAAGTACTACAGTGTATTGCAGACCGTGCAGACTGATCGTGGGAGTTGGACCGAGGAACTGAGGAACGCGCGGACCGTGAACCGCCACAGTGTTGTCGACAAGAAGGATACACGAAGGCGAGAAATTCTTGTTTTTTTTTTCACGTCGGAACATCGAAAATCACGAGGAAAACGATGGTGGACGCACGTTCAGAAGGGTCGTCGAACGAATAAGCTCGATTGCCGTGGACACGTAAACCATTCGTGGGTGAAGTGAAACACATGTGTCGGCCGAGCCGTGTTTTCCACTACAGAGCGACCGTCCCGTGTTTGGTCCGTGAATATCTCGCGTTTAGAAAGCGAAGTCGCGGGCCAGTTGTGATTATTCGCGGAAAATATAACGCGTTCAGCTCCGAAGACACTTATTAACGCAATGAGCCGCTTCTTCGAGATGGAATAGAACTCGTTGCAGAAGGCGGCAGTGCGTGGGTGGGTGGGTGTCTAGCGACTGCCACTCATGTATATCAAATTCCTTTTGGAATTTCACGCAAAATGTGGCTGTCAAGCTGATGATAGTGCTTATTTTGATTAAATAATCTTCTGTTTGATCCATGCACATTAATCGGCATACCATCCAGAGAATTCTTTTTTGGCTAAGGAGAAAATATTAGTTGAATTTCAGAGGAACGCTGTTGTCCACTGTCAATTTTTGCTTATGTCAATCTGACAGTTTTGGAATGAACAAGATGAACACGATTGCATTTCTGTGCTGTTACCAACTCTGTTGAGTTACAGAGAAACTTATATGCTTGGCTATTTTTGACACCATTGTCAAAAATTCTATTTTACATCAACCAACTTATTGATCGAGTTGTGCCACATAGTTTGGGTTCGGCCAAGTTCTTTTGCAAGAAATGCTCTTCTTAAAGTATGAAACAGAGGAATTTTAGCAAGCCTATCTATTATTATTTGCAGCTATAAGAGAAAGACCTTTTTAAGGTCTTGCCTCTTTCTTTTACTTGATATTGAGAGGCTAAAGTATGAAAGGTCAAGCGGAGAAAAATGGATATCGGTAAAGTGTCAGCATGCGTGAGAAGTCAGCAGAATGTCATGCTCACGCAGGTCACGTGAGAGGCACAACAGAAATGTGCTCACGTGATCCTTCTGCATTACACTCAACCCTTACCAAGGCAAATGGTAAAAATTCAAGCCCACAGCCCACTCATCACTCGGAAACACGCATCGATAACAATTTACTTCCAACACCTGGTGGACGATTAAAATTCTTCAAAGATGGAAAATTTATTTTAGAACTATCCCATCGTAGAGATGGGGAAAGAACTACATGGTTTCCAGTCCCGAAAAAAACATTTTGGCCACCAGCTAGCACAACTCCGAGTAGGCAGGAAAGTTCTACTTCTCTTAGTGGTAAGTAAATAAATAATACGTGTATATAATTACGCACACATTTTTATGATATTAACACTGTGATCCTACTTACAGTCTCTGATGATAACTCATCAGTACAGTCAAGTCCTTGGCAAAGAGATCATTGTTGGAAGCAAGCAAACCCAAGACGTCGGATATCCACAGAGTTTAATTTTTATTACTATAGAAATCCAAGAAACCGTCTGTGTGCACATCCTCGCCTAATAGCAAGAAAGCGTAGACGTCCATTAGATCCTACTTCTCACCTACTTCCAGAATCAGTAACAAATTACACTAAGCCAGTTCGAAAGGCGAATGGTACACCGACTGGAAAGGTTTTAAATATAATTATCGACAAACTAGCGCGCCTTCTAGATCCTAATGTCGTTTCACCTCGCAAACGCATACTGCGCGAATTGGAAAGAGTGTCATTAGAAGATCAAGCGTCTAAAAGACGCGCGACACCACAGCCTGTTTGTACAACGAGTGCCCCTACTCCATCGCCGAAACAATTATCGTCGTACAGCATAACAAGTATCTTGGGGGAAGATAAGCCAAGTCATGAGCAAGGCTTTCTAAGAAATTTGTTGAAGCCGGACGACAGACAAACTGTGAAATACTCATCGAGTAACTCGTATCCTAGGGTACGAGTAGATCCATACATTGGTACTACAAATACACCTCCTCAACATCCACTGTACAGTGTGCCAATGTTACCTCCTGGACCATATAGAGCACCTTTATGGATGCATTATCCGTCACCCGTCCATTATCCACCTCCTATGCCATTGTATGCACCACCACCACCTCATCCTTCATCTCCTCCAGTTCATCATTACAAAGACTACAGGGAACAAACTCTTACACCTCCTTCAGGTATGTGCTTCAAGATATTTATATGATTTCTCTATATATTGTGAATTACATGAATTCTTTATTATTGTGTTTGACCTTTAGATATGCCTCTAAATCTGTCGAAGCATGCGGGTTGAATCTCAGGATCCTAAAAGCTGGTGCCTTATCAATGGACAAAACTGCGCAAACACTGCCCGTGCAACGACAATGCGATATATTAGTATTTTTTTATCCATAAACAATAGTATCGTAGTAAGTAGATCCATGCAACCAGGTGACAAAGTCTGGATGCTATACTTGTACATAGAAATACATAAACTGTCAGAGTTGGCATAGGTATTTTATATTAATATTAAATTAAATCATGAGTAGTATTATGAAATTTTAATTGTAATTAAAAATGTATATGTTTTAATTAACATAATCTTTTATCATTGACCTGCTTACTGTTTCTTTTACGTAAAATTCAAAATTTTAATTATTTAGAAAATCACGTAAGTAGGTTCACGGCGAAATTTTATTTCGACTCTAAAAACATTTATACTACTCATGATTCTCACACCGTGATGAAAGGAAAAGAGCATGCTTTCATCTTGTGCATCTCATTTATGCATTATCTTGTTATTCTTATTAATGTTACTATCATTATTATCATTAATAAATGATACGACTATCCATTTTAAAAGATTCATAAGAAAGACATAGAATTATGTACAGAACAGATTATTACCTATATTTAGTATAAATAATTATTCCTATGAATAGAAATATGATAATAAATCTAGGTTAATAGCATCCACAACAGTATACATTTATTTATATAATATTAATGAACAAAATTGCTTGGTAAAGACCGTGGGATGTGCCTTAAATGATTACCTAAATTAGAAGAATGCTAAATTATGAACATTGTCATCGACATGTATTATTATTATTATTATTATTATTATTATTATTATTATTATTACTACTACTATTACTACTATTATTATGTACATATGAATATAACTTTGCGTTGCGTATTTGCATCAAATCGACATATTCGTCACTATTTATTATTAGTCAGGCGCATTACCAAACGTTTTACGCGAAAGGCAAACTCTCACACAGGCTCTACAAACTAGTGAGTAATTTCAACTATTCATTTACATACCTTTCCTTTTTTTTTAATTAAAACAGATGAAATATGTGACTGCGCATAAGCAATTGTATAGAAAGACTAATTTCGTAAATATATAAATATTTCATATACTATACAAAAGCATTTCATTTATTGTCTCAATGTGAATACAATCTAAACTTTCATAAATAACTTACAATTTATTTATTCACATAAACAATCTCACCCTATTTCATTATCATTTCTACATAATATTGGGATACACAATATGTATCGAATAAAAGGAACAAGTAATCTCGATATTACAAAGTGTGTCTCCGGACGGATATAGTTTATAAAGAAAATACAACGAGCCAAATTCAAATTTCGCGGGGGGTTTCGCGAATGCGTCGAAAAATTGGCACTCCACCGTGCAGTTATCCCCACCACTCTCCGGTAGGATAACGCAGACGCTGTGAAGACCGCGCAATCGTCGAGTCTTGGTAGTATCCGACCAGTGGCCTTGTTTTGTGGTATTCGTTGACCGGGTTGTATCGTCGGGATCGCGCGTTTTTCGCTGAAAATTCGTGAAAGTAGGCACCCGTGTTTTATTGAATCGAAGCAAGGGACGCATACGGTTCGGATATTCTATGTCTCGGTGAAGTTTCGAATGCACGCGGGTTCAGAGGAAAGCGAGTGAACAGAGCTCCGGTAGAGGGGAGCAGGCAGTCTCGCCTGGTCGTATATGTAGCCCGCTCGGCAAAATGAAAATGGCGGTGTTCCCGTATGAACGAAGCAACGGCCACTGACGATGTTCGTCACGGTAACGGACACGTGAGTCGAAACAAGTGCGGGTTATTCGCGCGTCTTCAGTGCCACTACTCGCAAGGACTACCAAGTGTTCAATTCTAGGCGGGAACGAGTCGGTGCAGGCGCGATATAGGGATAGCCGGAGTGCGATCTTTTTTTTCTGTTTCGAGTCGATCAGAGGGACAAACAAACACGATGGAGTGACACCGCGAAGTGTTGACTCCGTGGACAAGTGGGAAGTGTCGGCTGAGAAATTCGCGTGGTTGGAGGACGAAAAGTCTTCATGCCGATGCCGGCCGAATACCACGAGAACCACGGTAACCACGAGAACGCTAATTTCGCTCTCGGGGCCACACAGGACGCCAGCAACATGACGGCCAACATGTACCGGGTGGGAGGTAAAAAGTGACCGCACACAGCACACATTCCGCCGGCTGATGGCCACGCGTCGAGTCTCGAGCGCAGTCTTTAATTAACCCGAGAAATTAATGTTTGCGAATGGTGATCTGCGATGGCGTCCCCTGTATCTACATTTTACCCGCGCTCGGCCCCTCGACACTTTCCTCTCTTCATCTGGATCTCTCTTGTCTCTTCCTCCTCTGCTCTCTCTTTCGCTCTTTTAGCGTCCCATACATACGTCTGCTTTCCTTCTACACACCCCCCCTTCCCCCACTGCCCCCTTACTCTCTCGCTCGCCCTTCGTCCAGGTCATGCTAATTTCTTGCACGATGAATTTTGATGATTAAATTTCGATGTTTGTAGGTTCAGGCCCGCTTTTAGATTCCACATCGTAGTTTCATTTTTCTTTATAAGATCGTTGAATATTTTTATTCACATGTCAAATAATGCGAGGATCTCTGAAATTTTTATTTCCCCGATATTATCGAAGTGCACAACGTAACGAAGATCTACATCGGTACAGCGGTCTCCGCACGCTCGCGTCGAAAATTTTACACCTATCGCAGCATTCCACCGTTCGAATTTTTATTCATTATAATGCTATATTTTTAATTTGCGCAAGGCTTGTTTTCTTTTTTTTGTATACGGTGTTCGAAACTTTCTCCGATATTGTGACTCCCGTGTATCGTCGGAATAATAGTGTTAGTTCGTGTTTGTATACTATTCGCGTAAATGAATAGATGAAATGTGAATAGGAATTTCAATAAAATGGTATTGGACGGGAATAGTATTTATAGCATTATTAATTTTCTTGAATCAAAAACATATTTTTGAGATTATACTTGGTCATAATATATTAATATTATATATTGATGGAATATGAATAATTTATGTACTGTCTTTTCTTGGCATATTAAAATATATCTTTTGCTTTTTATTTGTAGACTACGTATATTTTGAAACATCTTCCACATCACCCTACCAGATAAGAAGGATAGAAGAATTAAATAAGGTAAGAGGAATTAATATCTAGATTTGAGAATTTTATACGAATTTTATCGATTTTTATTTACCATTATATGTTATATCACATTCTTTATATTTGTACAGACTAGTTTTGAAGTTTGAATAATTAAAATGTAAGTATATTTATATATTCTTTTCACATTCATTTAATTTGTTTTTTAGACAGCAAGCGGTAATGTGGAAGCGAAAGTTATGTGCTTCTTCAGGCGGAGGGATTTGCCATCCACATTAATTATGCTTGCAGACAAACATCAATGTAAGTAAGATTTACAGAGTTTTGTGAGATGTATTCTCCATACTCCTTTTTAATGTATTACAAATCTAATTATCAGAAATATTTTGGCATTAACAAATCATTCTAGTAACAAGCAAAAATTTGATTTTTCAATGCAGTTATATGATGATCAAATTATACAAAGCTGTTGTTGTCAACTGTTTTCAGTAATGTTTATATAGACACAATTATAATTGTACATTAATATATTGAGACTGTGAATCTTTATGCGTTTGCAGTACATAAATAGAAATATTTAATAAAATTAAATAAATCGAAACTTCGCGATTAATCTTATCTGAAACATAAAGATTAGTCTCTGCCCAACATTGTTGTCTGTAATTGTTGCTTTATGAATGTTAACGAACACACGAAAAATTCGCAGTCTACTAATGAATGTACAAGAATAATATAATTAATTTCATTTCCGCCGTCTTGCGGATCGATAATCATTTCGGAATTAACAAAACTGAAAGAATCCTTTCCACGAGCCACACGGAATCTTATTAATCGATTCGCGGGTAAATTTTTTATTAGCTCGATTGATAACTGTGATCTCGAACGTAGTATCCGTCGGACGTAATCGACGATCGAAAAGAAATTCGAGAAAAATTGTCCGAGAAAATCGTTGCGTGCCGAGCGTGCGACTGTTACTCTGTTTACGAAATATTTTACGACCGATTTAGGTAGACCTGCTAGTTTTCGCGGGCTCGGTACGAAGCCGGTTCGGATTCGACGTTTCCCCCGAATTAACTCGTATCTTATTTTCCAGTGAAAATAAACAACATCCGGTCAGTGCTTCTTCTATTTGCAACGTTCTTACGTTACTACGATTTCCAAATAGAAGTTCAAAGACCCCAGCGCGCCAGGATAGCTCCTGTTCATGTGAAAGGCATCACACTTCAATATGTTCTATCATACACAGAAAAATAACGCGTCTCCCTGAGAAAAAAAAAGTTCGCTCAGTATTTTACCTATCTCAATATATGTACACGCGTATATATGCATGCATATATACGTATGTATCTATGTACGTAATGTACACACACGCACCCACGCACGCGTATGTATATGCATCTCTCGTTTTTCTCTCTATTTCTCTCTTTCTACCTTTCTCGATTTTTCCTTTGCAGTGGCAAAGATAATGAGACGCGGGGATTTGGGGGGTGGGAATGTATAATAAGTAAAGTTGGGGGGTGGCAGAGGGGTGGA